TCTCAAACACCAGAGGAAGCTTGTTTCCTAGAATAGCACAGAACCTGAACAGCAGCCAGACACATTCCCCTAGTGGGACTCCTGGGGACCTGCAGAGGGGCTAAGCTTTTTTCAGCTGGAGATGGGGAAGGAGATAGATTTTCTGTTTTGGCTTTTCTTAGATCAGAACACTGAAGATAACCAGCATAAATATCACAAGTGTGACTGACAACAAGAGTAGACTAAAAGTCTTAAGTTTGTTGCAGCTGGTTCCCAGGAACAAGTTCCCAAGAGCACACACATTTTAAGCACTCAACCAGGGGGTCAGGAAAAGTTCCTCTTGGATGGGCAAAATGTGACCCAAACCACTACACAGGCTTTTTTCTTTTTCCACCTTCCGGTATTCTTGTAGTCTCTATTTTTACAAAATATGTCTTCTCTCCCAGAGAGCCAGCTATTTGGTTTCCATTTGCAAACAGAGAATGGGCTTCTCTGGGAAGGACACAGAACCACCTCCTCATGTGTATGCCAGTCTCCTACCCAAGTCGAGGGAACATGAAATTCAGGGACAGGCAGACCTGGGAATGGCTACTGCTAAGTATAATTCAAGGTTGTATTAAAAATCGGTCTTCAAAGTTATACAAGTCTTTGATTTCTGAAAATTTTTAAATTTTTAGTGAGAAAAAGAAATAGGATTGCTATTTTCTAATTCATTACAAAAGCAAATCAAAGTAACCGTTAATAAGACAGAGAACTGCAGAGGACAGAGAAGAAGAGAATCAAGCTTCCAGAACTCCCACCCCTAGGGACTGGGCTGGACACACCACAGACATGGGTTCTCTCAACCTCCCAGCAGCCCACAAGGGGGGGTCAGGGGAAGCCTTGTCCTGTGCATGAGGACACCAGGCTCAGGGTCTTCAATGGGGCTCCCCTAAAGGCAGAGTCTGAGCCAACAGCTTGGGTACAACAGTTCATTAGGTCTGTAGGAGAGGTGAGGAAGGAAGGCAGAAAGCTCAGGAAAGGCCCGAACACCAGCCTACTCTGGGCGATGGACTGCCCCTTGCAAATGTGTCTGCAGGGATGAGGACGCGAAGCAGCATCCACCAACCCACAAGCCTCACTGGATGAGGATGGCGCTACGGTTGCACACCTTGCAATGGGCAGTGCAGGACTCAAACTGGGTCTGACGCAGTCTGTGTGCTTGTCACCACATGGCGCCACTCTCTATGAGCCGGCTTCCCTTGTAATTGAGATACCACGTGCAAATAGCAGGTTGGGTCCTTGTTCTGTTTTATCTTCAGTTTCTCACCTCCCCATTCCATGCTTTCTTTCCCATTCAACTTTCAAAATGGACAGGCTGCTTTCTGAGATGTCCACTCACAAGCACTCACCTTTCCTTACAACCAACGCAGCTACCTCAGAAAGAAGGGCCATGCGTGTTTGTAAAGCATTGGGACAAGCAGTTCAGGTGGCCCTTCTGTCTCCAGCATGAGCACATTACTACAGAACAGCCTTGGGAGTTCAGGAAAGGGACAAACAGTAAACCTGGGGCAGGAGGAGGCAGAATGTCACCCCACGGATCACAGTCTTACCAGGGAAGCCCAGTAAGGAGTGGCTCTCACCTTGCTAGTAAGAGGCTGGTCCAGGAGAAGAACCCACAGACACTCACAGTGGCCGTGTAAGGGCCAGGAAGGAGACTCCTTGTGGCTGCGCCCTGTCGCTGCCTGACTGGCTGAAGTCTATACACAGACATCAGGATTCCTCAGATACATACACACTGGTTTAGACCAGCAGAATGGCTACCGAGGGTGAGGGATAGAATTTTTTTTTTTATTTTTGCTATAGGGCACATGCACTCGCCAGACAGAGAGAGAGAGACAGAGAGACAGAAAGAGAGAAATCACCACCCAGGGAGGATGGCCACACTGCAGTCCCTTCTCCTCCATTCTCCTCTCCTCTCAGCATCTTGGGCACACACGCACACACGCATGGCGTGAGTTTAAGCCACCGGGTCCGGGACTTGAACCATGGTCGACTACATGGGAGTCCAGCGACATAGCCATTACACTAACTGCTGGTCCCAAGTGATAGAATTTCTGTCTGACATACTCAGGGTGGCCTCTTCTTCTGTTTCTTTGCACAAGAGTGGGAACAAGCTTCACTCACCTTCCTGACCCTTAATATTTAAAAGAAGGTAAAGGCTAGTGGGTAAGGGGACAAGATCCCACATGGCTGAACACAATTCGAAGTTCAGCCCCAGTGGCTTAAAAACACACCAGGATCGGCCAGCAGGTAGTATAGAGGCTAAGACGGCTGGATCCCACATGGCAGACTATGTGGTTCAAGTCCCAGACTCAGTGGCTTGAAAATAACACTGGTTACATGTGCATGTATGCCCAAAATCCTGACCGGAGAATGGAGGAGAAGAGACTGCAGCATGGCCATCCCCCTGGGGAGTGATTTCTCATTTTCTTTCTCTCTCTGTCTCTCTTTAGCAAGAACACACCCTATAGCAAAAACTAAAGAGAACAAAACAAAAGCACACACTGCGTGTGTGTGTATGTGTGCTCTAAATCCCAGTAAGACCAAAGAATGGAGATCAGAGTGTGGCATGACCACACTCCACTGGAGACTGTTCCCTCTGACTCCTGTCTGTCTGTCTCTCTGTCTCCGACAAAGCATATGTGCTTTCTAGTGATTAAAAAAAGGGGGGGGGGACCAGCAGTTAGCGTAATGGCTATGTTGCTGGACTCCCACATGGTCGACCACGGTTCGAGTCCCAGACCCGGTGGCTTAAACTCACACCAGGCGCGTGTGCATGCGTGCCCAAGATCCCGAGAGGAGAACGGAGGAGAAGGGATTGCGGCATGGCCGTCCCCCTTGGGGGGTGATTTCTCACTTTCTATCTCTCTGTCTCTCTCTGTCTGGCAAGCGCACGCACCCTATAGCAAAAACCGCTAAAAAAAAAAGGGGGGGGGGATTTGCCCATTTACTGCCTCCTGTAGGAATTCACTCCTACAAGTAACAAAAGTATTATAGCTCCCATGGTAATTTCTTACTATGATAAAGTACATAGAAATATAACATAGGTAGTGAATGTATCCCTCATGAGTAATGAATCCAGCCAGCAGACATGCACACATACTACATGGACTACTCAGGCCCAGAACAGCAGCCCCATAGCTGAATCATGTCTCTCATATAACCCAGTAATTAATTAGTTCCATCAAAATTTTTGTTTTATGACACTCACTTTTATATGCCAATAGTCAATTTAATGGTATTTTAAATTAGACGAAAGGCCCAAGAGAAGAGGGGAAAGTGCTTGATACCTTATTGAACCGCAAATCTTACAATCTGATTTTTTAATTCCAAAAATGACCTAATAAACTTGGCTTCTAATTAAATCTATCCTAACAACTTCTCTTTTCTGGTTTTCATTTTATTTTATTTTATTTTATTTTTTGCAGTCAGGCAGAGATTTCGACTGAGAATGCCTCATGACTGTATCTACACTCCCAGGGGTACTCATGGGCTATCAGGGTAAAGACCCTTTACTCTCCTCTGGAGCTTGCCCAGCATCTCCAGAAGCACTGAGGGAAACTGAAGCTTAGTGTTGCCGGAGTCTCTAACATCTGCCTGCAATGTATGAAATATGCATGAGTGATACTCTCAGAAATTAAAAACTTCAGGGACAGCAGTAAGCGTAATGGCTATGTCGCTAAACTCCCATGTAGTCAACCACGCTTCAAGTCCCAGACCCGGTGGCTTAAACTCACACCGGGCGCGTGTGCGTGCCCAAGATCCCAAGAGAAGAATGGAGGAGAAGGGATTGTGACATGGCCATCCTCCTGGGGGGTGATTTCTCACTTTCTGTCTCTGTCTGTCTCTGTCTTTCTGGAGAGCACACACATCCTATAGCAAAAACCTCCAAAAAAGAAAAAAATTAAAACCTTCGACTGACTTCCTTGTGTGAAAATTTTACCTTGAGGAAACTACATGTACATGCATTCTTTCATGTTTAGGCCTTTACAATGTTAAAAAGGAGGCAAGCTGTGAGCCAGCAGGTGGTGTGGTGGTTAAGGCGTGGATCCTGCAGGACCAGCTGCACAGTTTGAGTAAGGGAACTGGCGGCTTGACAAACACGACGGGTGCATGTGCATGCATGCCCAAAACCCCAAGAAGAGACTGAATGAGAAGGGATAGTGGCATGGCCATCCACCCCCACCCCCCATGGGGGGATTTTTCACTTTCTCTCTCTGTCTCTCTCCAGAGCGCACACATGCCCTATGGCAAATTTAATAAAAGAAGAAGAAAATTATACTTTATCAAGAAAGTAGTACTTAACAAAAGAGGAAAGAAATCAAACTAGGGGTCAGACAGTGTCACAGGGGTAAACATGACTCTGTGCAACGCTGACCCACAAAGGAGGGTTCTGGGTTTGCATCAGAGACCTCCCTGAACACCCCAGCTGTGCGCGTGCCTGAGATCCCGTGCTGGCTGGGGCTGGAGGTAGACTGTAGCACCAAGAACCTGTTGGGGGTGCTCTTTCTCTCTGATTCGCTCTATCTCCCTTTCTCTATCTCAAGGAAGAAATAAATAAATAAAAATTTTTAAAATTGCATCAACCGTTCTTAGAAACCAACAGGTTACGGCAAAATGGTTCTGCCATACATTCAACTGAATAAGAAAAATCTTTCAATTCTGGCATTTATGAAGGCTTTTGTCTGCTTTTGGTCAACAGAGCAATTAAAACAGTAAATATTGTGGGTGATTTCTTAAAAAGTCTGAGATTTTAAAGAATGTTATTTTTGGCAAAAAAAAAATCTGTTTTCATGAGAGTGCCATAATTACTAAGATGCATGGAATTTTGATAAAATGCACTTCACTAGGCATTTGTGTTCTTCTCCCATACATTAGGAAGCATTCTTTGAACAGCCTGAGTTTTCAAGCCAAATTACAGCCTAAAGATATTGGCTGTTGATACCAGCAGTTAGAAGGAAGACAGAACAAAGACTTACCATTTGCTGTATTCTTCTTAAAGTTATCCAGGAACTCCTCCAGGAGCTGAGACTGGTTAGGAGGGGGCAGTAGACTCTTCTGGTCCCTGGAGAACAGGTCACTGTCTGACCAGGAAGTAGATAGGGTTGCTTTTGTGGACGGAGACCGGGCAATCAGAGTGAGGTCAACGCTCTTCTCTGAAAACAGGGCCTCCATTTGCTTGAGGTCAAGATCAGAAACAGCTTCCCCATTTAAGGTCATGATTTCATTGCCCTTTCTCAGCCCTGAGAACAAGGAGGGAGAAGAAGGAAGGAAACAAAAAAGAGAGAGCTAACTGGGTGAAATAGTTTAAGATGTAAGAAGGCTGTGGACCCAAACCAGGTACTCTTAGGGACAGTTTTGTTTGTTGCTTTCTTCAAAAAAAGTACCAAATGCATAATATTTAGAAAATACCAAAAACAAAAAATAAATAAATAAAATGTAAAAATCAGCTTTCTCAAAGCTAGTATTAGAAGGAATAGCTTAAAAGGAAACTAATTTGGGGGCCTCTCATGTATCGTTCTTCTACTATTCTGATGTTAAATACCCTGAAAAATAACATCATTTTATCTGTGTTTCTCTCTCACACTTTCTCCCTCCCCTCCCTGCACATATTATGTATGTTCTGTGTATATGCACCCTCTCTCACTTTAAAAACACACCCTCTCTCACTTTAAACACACACACACACATATACCAAAATGTTCTTTCCACATACACACAGAGGCTTCAAAAAGCTCACAGAAATGCCCTTGTATACATATATGCATTTTCAATGAAATTCTTAAGCTTACTTTCTTTCACAGTTTCCTAGGAAAAAGCGTTTCCTGACAAATCTTTAAGAAACCATTGCTCCCACATAACATTGCCCAGTTTTGGGTTAACAGAGAACAGGGAAACCGCGTGCACACCCACCTTCCCCATAGGCCAAGCCATCAGGGAGCACGTCGCTTACAAATATTCGGCTGAGACGCTGGCGTTCATCCACCTGCGCCGTGACAGCAAAGCCTAGGAATGAACAGGAGCTAGTCTGAATCCAACACACGTGTGAATATCTCCACCCCCAACCCAGGCAGCAGTGGTTCCTGAGCACCTCTTCTCTTAAGCCTGGCTATGTTGAGAAAGTCTAAACTACAGCTACTTGCACAGTACAAATATTTAGCAGAAAAAGAGGAACACGTTAGACGGAAAGGTTTGAGAAATCTGAGTGCACAATCATCAAAAGTGAGGCCACACACCCATGTTCATGTTCACAGCAGTGCTGTTCCCAATGGCCTAAGGATAGAAAACCCAACTATCCTTCAGTGGGTAAGCAGACAAGCAAAATCCATATACCACAGAATATAACTCAGCCTTAAATGGGAAAGATATTCTGGCACATGGATGACATGGGTGAACCTTGAAGGCATGATGCCGAGTGAAAGAAGTCGGTCACAGGACAAATGTTATATGATTCCAACTTAGATGAGGTACCTAGAACAGTCGAATTCATAGGGACAGAAAGCTGAATGGTAGTTGCCAGGGACCAAGGGCAGCAGACTAAGGGGAGTTCATGTTTAATGGGTACAGAGTTTCAGTTTTGCCGATGAAGAGAGTCCTGGAGGTAAATGGTAGTGATGGTAGCAGACATGAAAATACGTAATACTTTAGAACTGTACACTTGAACATGGTAACAATGATAAGCTTTAAGTGTATTTTACCACGATTAAAACATTTTTACATTGGGACCAGCAGTTAGCATAATGACTATGTTGCTGAACTCCCATGTGGCTGACCACGGTTTGAGTCCCGGATCCGATGGCGTCAACTCACGTTGGGTGCATGTCCATGTGTGCCCAAGATCCCAAGAGGAGAAAGGAGGAGAAGGGATTGCGGCATGGCCATTCCCCCTGGGGGGTGATTTCTCACTTTCTGTCTCTCTGTCTCTCTCTGTCATTCTGGCGAGCACACGCACCCTATAGCAAAAATCTCTCCAGGACCAGCAGTTAGCGTAATGGTTATATCACTGGATTCCCATATAGTCAACCATGGTTCAAGTCCCAGACCTGGTGGCTTAAAATTCACACTGGGCGCGTGTGCGTGTGTGCCCAAGATCCTGAGAGAAGAATGAAGGAGAAGGGATTGCAGCGTGCCATTAGCCCCCCACCCTCCCCCGGGGGGGGTGATTTCTTGCTTTCTGTCTCTCTGTCTCTCTGTCCTTCTGGCGAACGTAAGTGCCTTATAACAAAAAACTCTAAAAAAATTTTTTTTTACGTTGAACCAAAAGATACTTTCATTGAGATAAGAGTCCATTCAATACAATAAATATTCTTTGAGAAACAATTATCTATGAGGTAAGGCACTTTAAAAGGTTAAAAAGAAAAAGCTCAGATGGATACAGTATTTGCCCCAGATATGACTGTATGCAGGACACAGTGAGATGTCTCCTCCCTTAAGCACATCTCCTGACTCAGAGAAGGCCTTCCTCTCCGATGCCACAGCTGGGAGCACATGTTTCCTCAGATCTGTCCCACAGTACTGGGAGTTCTCTGAGGACAGGTGGAGTCATGTCTACTCCCATCTCCTCTGTGCCTCAGGCAGTGCCTAGCAGACGGTGGTCCCCAGAAAGTATCTTTGCTAATACGGTCCTCTGAATCTATGGGTGTCACATCTGCAGATTCAACCAACCATGGATTGATTTAAGAAAGAAGGAAAAAATAAAATAAAAAAGGGACCAGCAGGTGGCATGGAGGTTAGGAGCAGTGGAGTCCCACAGGCTGACCATACCCAGTGGCTTGCTTTCTTATTTTCTTACTTTCTCTCTGGTGAAAAACATGCCTATAGCACATTAAATAATAATAATAATAATAAATAAAATTTAATGAATTTTTTTAAAATATCTCTTTTAAAAAGAAGCAATAACAGAGACCAGAAGATGGTGTGGTGGTTGAGGTGTTAGACACTCCCACCTTGCCAACCACAGTTCAAGTCCTGGACCTGGCAGCTTGTTTTCTCACTTTCCCTCTTTCTCATCCTGTGTCTCTCTCTGGTCAAACTAAAAATAAATGAATGAATAAATAAAATTAAATAAATAATTTTTAAAAACTAGAAGTTCTTTTTTTTTTTAAAGAGGTTTTGGCTATAGGGCGCGTGCACTCACCAGACAGCCAGAGAGAAACAGAGAGACAGAAAGCGAGAAATCACCCCCCAAAGGCAACACTGCAATCCCTTCTCCTCCATTCTCCTCTTGGGATCTTGGGCACACATGCACATGCGCCCGGCATGAGTTTTAAGCCACCGGGTCCAGGACGCAAACCGCGGTCGACTATGTGGGAGTCCAGCGACATAGCCATTACACTAACTGCTGGTCCCTAAAAAAACGAGTTCTTTATAATTAAAAAAAGAAGCAATAACATCAAAATACAATGACAAAAACAAAATTTAGAAACACAGAATAATGTCTGTTTACTAGTACTTGCATTGTATTAGGTGTTACGAGTGAGCGAGAGATGAGTTCACGTGTGTGTGAGGATGTGCACAAGTCACACACCGAAACTACATCATTTTACGTAACAGACGTGTGCATCCTTGGATTTTGGTACCTGGGTGGGACAGGGGCTCTGGAACCAATCCCTCACAAGAGATACCAAAGGACAACTACATCTTCTTTCAGTCATTCGAATGCAAAGAAGACACATAAATGCCAACAAGGAAAGCATAGTGCAGGCCAAGAGAAGCACACAGAAGGAGCTAAGAGGGCTTCAAAGGAAAACCCAACACAATATCTGACTTAAATCACGTAAATTAAGAAATAAATCATAAAAGCAAAATTCTGATATATGACAAGCTTTATCATATTATCAACCTGAGTCACTTTAAGAAACATAATTATGTTGAATGTACATATTTAATGAGATAAAAAATAGGGCCAGAAGGTGGGATGGTGGTTAGAGCTCTGGGCTCCCATGTAACCTACTGCAGTTTGAGTCCCGGATCTGCTGGCTTGCTTTCTCATTTTCTCTCTCTCTCTGGTGAGTGCATGTGAATTAAATAATAGTAATAATAATAAATAAAATTAAATAATTTTTAAGAAAAAGAAGATTGAATAGGGATATTCAATTTTATCACTGAGTGTCTATGGTAAAATGATCCAATCACTGTGTTCCTATGGTAAAAGACAGAAATTCTCTTTAAGACAGGAGCAGTTTCTCAGGAGCTTACAGTCCATTTTAAGTACAGAACTATAGAAATGCAAGAATTAAATGCTATGGAGAGATTTAATTAGTAAACTCAGAAGAGTTGAAATTGAATCAGATAAGCCTTCTTCAAGAACCTTAGCCTTTTAGTAAATTCTTGAAGGGCAGGCAGGATTTATAGCATCAGAGAGGAGAATGAGGGGAACAGAGAGGTGAAGGGTAGCACTCCAAGGGGGTGAGAGGAAGCTTGGAGTGAAGACACTAGAGAGGGAAATGTGATGTGAATGAGTGAGCCCGCTCAGAGCAGCCCCTGGACGCGGTAACCTCACTGTCAGTGTGATTATTCTTATCACCATCATTCAAATTCCTCATCGATCTTTATATGCACTCCTTTTAAGTCCTTCAGCCTTTTTCCTAATATTGATACATGCCTTTTTAGCCTGCTAATACACACAAATAGAAATGAAGGAAGGAAAAGGAAGTTCAGAAACTATTGTCATATATTCTGAAAGTGTGAACATTAAAAAATAAAAAATAGATCTGGGACCAGTAGATGGTATAGTGGTTATGTCGCTGGTCTCCCACATAGCCAACAGAGGTTCGAGTCCCCAACCCAGTGGCTTGAAAATCATGCCAGGCACGTATGTATGCATGCCCAAGATCCCAGAAGAAGAATGAAGGAGAAGGGATCATGGTGTGGCCATTATCCTGGGAGGTGATTTCTCACTTTCCCTCTCGCTGTCTCTGTCCCTCTCTCTTACAGGCAAGCACATGTGCTCTATGGCAAAAAACTCTTAAAAAAAAAGAAAATCTTAGGTCCAAAGATACTGGCACATGCCAGGCAAGGGTGAACAGCCCAATTTCCCGACAGGGTGTCCCTTCTGCTTACCGAAGTCGGACACACTCCCAGTCTTCGTGAGCTGCACGTCGTAAACATTCAGTGGGAAGACTTCTATTTCATCATAAACCTACAAACAAAATCAGAGGATCTGATGTTACAACAGCTTGGAAAATTATGTTGACACGTTTTTCCACAGGAAAACCATTAATAAGATATCTATACATGGAGACTGTCTGCATACTAGGTGCCAAATTCAAACAGGATTACCCCTCAAATTACATTCTTCAAGATGAAAGAGCCAGAGACAGGGCTCCACTCTCCCTTCCTGAGTGAATGTCCACTTGCCTGTTCTTGCATGTATTCATGAGGTGCAGGAACACAGGACTCGATGCTGTCATCTACCAGCTTTCGAAGCTGTAGGCCATAGTGACTGGGTTCCAGCTGCCTCATCTATAGAGAAAGAGGCAATTATTCATATTTTAAATTTCTTTCTAAATCCATAACTCATTAAAAACCAAACATAAGTCTCTACAAGAACACAATATATAATTTGCTGAATTTAAACCTATGTAAGAGCCCAAATTTAAATACACAAAAAAGAAACAAAAGAACAAATAATTATTTGAAGAAAGTTTTCTCTAAATGATATTGCTTCTTACTGAAAGCAAGAAACATGGTTGTTTTTTTTTTGGGGGGGGGAGCGGGGGAGAGGTTTTTGTTACAGGGTGCGTGTGCTCACCAGAAAGACAGAGAGACAGAAAGTAAGAAATCACCCCACAGGGGGGATGGTCACGCCACAATCCCTTCTTCTCCATTCTCCTCTCGGGATCTTGGGCACGCACGCACATGTGCCCCGCACGAGTTTAAGCCACCAGGTCAGGGAATCAAACTGCAATCAACTATATGGGAGTCCAGTGACATAGCCATTGTGTCAACTGCTGGTCCCAATACTTTTTTATTTCCAAGAGACAGGGTCAGGGACCACCTGCTGGTCCCTGAGGACTAGGTGCTAGACTCCCACGTGGTTGACCACAGTTCAGGTCCCAGATCTGGCAGCTTGAAAATCATGCTGGGCACATGTGCATGTGTGTATGTCCAAAATCTTGAGAGGAGAATGGAGCAGAAGGGTTTATGGTGTGGCCGTTTCCACCTGGAGGATGGTTTCTCACTTTCCCTTTTTTTTCTCTCTCTCTGGCACGCACATATGCTCCATGGTAAAATAATAATAATAACGACAACAACAACAATAACAGGGTCTCACTATATTGCTCAAACTGGTTTTGAACTCATGATCCTCGTGCCTCGGCCTCTCAAGTAACTGAGGTTATAAGCACTCACCACCACTTTCTAGTACATTAGAAATTAGTCAACTGATATCACTGACACATTCCAGCATTGCTGGTTTTCTGAATTTAAAAAAAAAAAAAACATTATATACTGGAGCAACAAAAATTAAGTTTATAAGGTAGATATATAAATATAGTATCCTAAAGCTTCAAATCAGAATGACAAAGGAGCACTAAAATTAAATTTTACCCCCATCTATTAAGTGTAGGTGCTTAAGAGTTGGCAAACTATACATGCCCTTTCCACTATTTCACACATTTGATTGTATTTTCTCTGGAAACTTAAAAATATTTAAGCTCTACTCTGCCACCTGGTGGTTTAAAAATTTCTGATCTGACATTGCTGAATACATTTTCTCTCAGCAGACTCTCTTTAAGAGTTATCATATTTCTGTTTTAAATTGAAAATAAAACCTAGTTTGAATAATGAATTAAAGGAACCAGCAGTTAGCATAATGGCTATGTTGCTGGACTCCCATGTAGTTGACCGCAGTTCAAGTCCTGGACCCCGCAGCTTAAACCCACTCCAGGTGCCTGTGTGTGTGTGTCCAAGATCCCAAGAGGAGAAAGGAGGAGAAGGGATTGCAGCATGGCCATCCCCCCTGGGGGGTGATTTCTCGCTTTCTGTCTCTCTGTCTCTGTCTGGCGAGCGCACACACCCTATAGCAAAAACCTCTCAAAAAAAAAAAGAATTAAAGATCATTTCATATCAATTTCCATGAAGCAACCATGAATGGTATCAAGTTAGTTCTTTAATCCTGAGAAACCTGGTACAAAATTACTTAGAATTGATCAAAGTACATCAATGTTTATGCCATTTTCTTACAGAGCACCATTTCTAAGTAACAGACATCATAATTATTCTAAATATAGAAGGTACTGGGTCATCAGAAAAGTCATGACATATTTTTCTGTTTTCCTATGTAAAAATGACCCAAAATGTACAGAATTTTAGCAGAATAGCTAAAGTTCTTTATGAAGGAATGAGATCATGACCAAACAACTCACTCTCCTAAATGGACTGAGGAACAGGATGCAAATTAATAAATATGCTAATGAACATTGGTTAATAAATATGCTAATTTGTTCCTGAGTGTAGAAAGGAAATTCTCAAGCACCACACCAGTTGAGGAGGCGTAGGAGTTCAGTACTAATTATTATTTCTATTCAGAAGTACATTTCTGCAGCAAAATGTGTTACCTTGCATGCCAACGTCAAAATATCTTCCACTCTGTGTTCTGGCTTAATCACAACAGTAACTCCTTGGTTATCCTGAAAGTGAACGTAAGTCTGGACTTCCCACGTGTTGTCTCGGGAAACACCATCCACTGATGAACCATATATCGGCAGAAGTTCATCAACCTGTTTTCAGATGCCCAAGAGAAAAATACAGACAGATCTGATAAGCAAATGAAGGGGACTGCTGAAAAAGTGTTTTTCTTTATGGAATATTTATAGTACGGTGTTTCACACTCCTCACATCACTGGCTTCTTGAGCCTCTAGGGCAGACCCGCCAAGTGTTCTCCTCACTCACTTCAAGCAGACAAGATGGAGGCCCAAGAAGGCCAAGTAGCAGCCAGCTGCCTCCTCGCCCTATGTGCTACCTGCTATACCCGTGGTCCCCAACTGTTCTGGCACCAGGGACCAGTTCTCTGGAAGACAGTTTTTCCATGGACAGGGCTAAGGGGGTTATAAGAGCCTCACATGCGCAGTTCACAAGAGGGTTCGCGCCTATGAGAAGGGAATGCGCTGCTGATCTGATGGGAGGAGTTTAGGCGGTGATGTCAGAGACGGGGAATGGCTGCAAATACAGAGGAAGCGTTGCTCACTCGCCTGCTGCTCACTTCCTGCTCTGCAGCCTGGTTCCTAACAGGGACTGCAGGGTTCATTGCCCAGGGGTTGGGAATGCCTGCACCTCACCATTCACCACTCAGACATGTGTAAACGCCGCGGTCCAGGTAAGGGCTGCTGAGTGCCCAGGCTGCCTGCTCCAGAAGTGCAGACAAAGAGCCACTGTGACATCTGCCCTGAAGCCACAGTCCCTTTCCAACTTCCCAGTGAATTTCAGACACACATCTGTTTAGGACCATTGGTATCCACCTGCATCCTAACCCTGAACTGAACTTATAATCCAAGTATGATTCTCATCACTTTTATTTTTACTTGTTTTTTAAAAATTAACCCCTAGACTAGAGAAATAATTTCTTTCTTCGGCTATTACACATAAAGATATTTCATTAGAAAAACCAGCCCAGGGACCAGTAGTTGGTGTAATGGCTATGTCGCTGGACTCCCATGTAGTTGACCACGGTTCGAGTCTTGGTCCTGCTTAAACTCACGCGCCCGGCGTGCGTTCCCAAGATCCCAAGAGGAGAATGGAGGAGAAGGGATTGTGGCATGGCCATCCTCCTCTGGGGGGTGATTTCTTTCTGTCTGTCTCTCTGTCTCTCTCTGTGTTTCTGGCGAGCGCACAGACCCTATAGCAAAGATCTCTCCAAAAAAAAAAAAGAAAGAAAAATCCTTTCCCAAAGAAATATACCTTCCTAAAAGCCATCATCACAGCAATTCACTGAAAGAAAATGTATTCAGCAATGTCAGATCAGAAATGTACTTCTGTGATGTATTGCAAAAATAGTTAACATTTCTTAACCGATTCAGAGATGCTTTTCTCTGGCTAGAGTCTCACATTAGCATGGTTATAGAGAGGACCTGAAACGAAAAGTCACAGACTTTACCACTTATCCAGCAGCAATGGCCTAGGACAAAATCTGTACAGTGCTAAACCTCGGCTCCTACCCTGTAAAAGGGAACACTAGTAATATAATCATTTACATTCACCAAATAACAACACAAGATTCTGTGAGAAAAGAAGGACATTTTCTTGTGAAAATACCCCATACACAAGAAAATGTCACACACGGATTTGAAACCATCACATTACTGTAGACCACTCATCAAACCTTAAAGATATCAGTGACATGAAGTGATTTTACGTTGAATTTCATGTGCTTTTTTTAAACATAGAAGATCATTTTATAGGGGATGTTAAACCAGAAGAGATATAATAAAGAATTTGAAAAGAGCAGGTTTGGGCAAAGCAAAGGAAGAATCCATCTTTATCTGTCATCTTTTTGAAAATGTGGAGTGACACTTCTGGATCTGTCATAGATCTGTCACTTCAGCACATGTTCCTGGAAGGATGAGAGCAGGCAGAAGGAATATCCCTGGGTGTGCCAATACAAAAGAGCAAGAGTGACAGAGGAGCAGATGCCTAGATCCCCCCCACTGAGAGCCAGCCTGGATGCTCCCCTCCCCTGAGGTCCCGTCTCCCAAGGATCCTCCTCTGGTTCATTATCCCAGGTCCTTTTCCTCTGGGCAGTGATTCCAACCAGGTGCCTGGGCAACAAGCAGGTGCTGCCTTAAAGGTGCAGGCTCTACCTATCCAAGTACGCTGGTTCAGCATGAAACCAAATCCCCAGCAGAGGTCGCTGTGGAGTAAGAAACCGCACAAGGAGCGTCCAAAGGAAGTCAATGGTGCCGGTTACCGGGTGGAGCCGCTCTACGCTGAGCTTTTGGAGAACAGGAAAAATGAAAGTGAAGATGGACAGATGCGGGAAGGATGTGAGAAATAAATGCACAACTGTGTCTCAGCCACTCTTTTTTTCCCACCCATACTGTCCATCACAGAGACTAGTACTGGGGCCAAAGGAAATAAACTCTCAACAGCTTGTCAGTGCACTCGCCTTCACATCTAGCCCTCATGTAGGCACTGCCATAACCCCACATTCCACACATGAGAAACAGAAGGCGCAGAACGTTCTAGAAACATGCCCAAGTTCACATCATCAGTGACCATGATGCTGTGGGGGTTGGAACCCTGGCCATCAGGTCTGTGTCCCAACACAGTGTACAGACAGGCCAGCCTGGCCAAGAACTCCCCACTGGTGGGAGGGACCTTAGTTTCCAACTCTTTTCCGTTATTCTACTCCACACACCATATTCTGGTCGAGCGAAAGGACTCACCTGGCATTCCCCAAAAAGGAGTGACACTCCCCTGCCTCCGGATCCCATTTATTTGAATGTATGGGTTTTGGGGTTAAAGCTTATTTACTTAACTCATTAGAGAGTACGAGAGCTAGAGAGACTGGCACTCCACAGTCTTGTCGCAGCGTCAGCCCTTCCCCTCAGACCTTCAGTCGTCAGACTCTTGGACACATGCATGCCCAGTGGCGTCCAGCTCATCCAGGCCTGGACTCTGGGCCCAGTTGGCTGCAGGGTGCTTCCAGCACTACAGCTCAGGGTGTTGCCCTGAACCACAGGCTGGGCCTCCTTTCAGTGTCTGCTGCTTTACCCTCCCCTTGGTCAGTGCTAGAACCGTACAAATCCTCAAGCCTTATTTCAAATGCTGCCCCTTCTCTTAGGAAGTCTCTCCTGTTCCTGCATTCTATGTGCTCAGTCCCACTCACCTGGATGAGTGTACTCCCCTATGCCCCTGCTTCAGCACTCAGCAATGCCCAGCTCATGGCATTGTCAGTTTTAGCCTCCCCGAGCCCAAGTGACAGGGTGAGTGACAGCACAGGCTTCGCCTTCCGCTTTCTAAGTCTCCCTCAGCATTTCGGCCTATGTGTGCTGGAGCCAGAGCACACCCAACTCTTGGGAGCAGAGCTGGCTGCATCTGGAGTCATGCACAAGCATGAAAGCAAAAACGGGCCCTTTTCTGCATCAACTCCTTAACACGCCCTAGAGAGACTGGCCCTGCAGAGGGCCAGTTTCAAGAAGAGAAATTGACACACTTTTTTGAAGAGTTATTTTATTCAAGTTTATTTATCATTATTATTTTTTAACTTGACCAAAGACAGAGAGAGAGAGAGAGAAAGAAAGTGAGAAGGCAAGCCACTAGGTCTTGGACTTGAACCATGGTCAGCCATGTGAGAATCCAGTGCTCTTAGTCACCATGCCACCTGACAGCCCCCAAATTAACAAATTTTTAAAGAGGAACAAGTCCTGGACAAGAGAGAAATATTCAGGAAAATGGAGAAATGGAAGGAAGGACACAAGAAATATTTCTGTTATATTTGATTAAATAAGTATTATGCTACAACTGCTCTGAGCAACCATATCCCAAGTCTACACTACTGATCTAAGAGGTAGTCAAAAAGAAAAGACAAAATATTTATCAAAGCGGAGGCCATCAAAGATTCATGCTCTCTCCAGAGGCCCCTCATTGAAGTGTAGATGTAATTTGTGTAAGACATGCACACACACATAGCCACACATCCCACCAACATATCCAATTCAGCAGAGGTAAAACCTGGTTATTCCATGCAAGCATCAAGAATGTGGGATTGAGTGATTAATTAGAGCAAGAAAAGGGAAAGACTATTTGGTGCTCACAGACCTCCTAGGTTGCTGTAAGCTCTGCCCATCTGGAGACAAGTCTGGATTGATTCCCTCAAGAAGGGTCAATGCTTTCCAAGCTGAAAATACACATGCTTTAGTTTAAAAAAACTAGATAAAATAGTCTCTTACATTCTTTTCATAAAGGAACAGAGAAGCTTGAAAATAAGTACTGGCCATCTGGAAAGCTCCTCCCAGCTTACCCTTTCCAAGGGTTCCACATGAAGCTAATTTTTTTTTAAGAGAGATTTTTGCTATAGGGAGCATGCACTCACTGAAGTGACAGAGAGAGACAGAGAGACAAGAAACAAGAAATCATCCACTCCCCCCCCCACCCTGAGAATGGCCACGTTGCAATCCCTTCTCCTCCATTCTCCTCTCAGGATCTTAGGCATGCACGCACACATACCAGGCATAATATTTAAGCCACTGCATCCGGGACTCGAACCACAGTGAACTACATGGGAGTTCAGCAACATAACCATTACGTCATCTGCTGGCCCCAAAGCTAATCTTTTTAACCATTGCTCATAACTCCTCACTGCCTGCCTCTGTCAAGAACGCTGCAAGCCCTTCCCATCTCCTACTATGCTTCCCACCTCTATTTAAAAAAAATAATAAATCACTCCCTACTAGCCTGTTCACGTTGCCAGAGTCCGAAAAATATGCGGAGGGGGGGGGGGGGGAAGATGGAAGCAGTCAAAATATGTTACTAAAAAACAATCTGGGTCCAATCTCAGCCTTAGTAGGGCTGGTTAGTAAATGTTTCTGTCACCTCATGTCTTCCTCTTTGAAAGGGGTTAAAACACCAGCCTCCCAGGGAGGCCAGGAGATGGCTGTGGGGAGGTGGCATTTGAAAGAAAGACACTGCCAAGCCTTTTTCAAATTCAGCCTAGATTGTGGGGCATCACCACTGTGATTCAGTGACGGCCACTCAGCAGAACTATATGAAAATAATCCCTAGTTTCCAAACACTACGGACCAGGGCAGCTGCTGATACACAGATCACCTTGCAGTCCAGCTCCTTGCAGGCCGCCCCTGAATGGAACATCACTGCAATACAGCCAAAGTCACCACAGATGAAGTAGTCAATGTTTGCAAATCACTATAGCTCTCCAGGAAGGGGGACTGCTACAGAAGCATTTACCATTATTATTATTATTATTATTATTACTATTTGAATGGACCTGCAGCCATGTGTCAAATTACTGATGCTCAATACACTGCGAGTAGAGAGACTGCAACTCCGGGTGTTCTCACAGCAGATGCTTTTGGATCAAATGGCTCGTAATTACTACTTGGATCACTGAGGGGAAGTGAGTAGCAAAATCTCAATCTGGCTGTCACAAATGAGCCCACACCACCACAGTTGCCAATAAAAGGAGAGTCTATTAGCAAGGGAGATGAGGAGACAAGACAAAAGGAGCTGCATGCTCTAGGGTTTCTTAACAACGCTAAAATGTCATAGAGGAGAAAGTGTTCATTTCCTTCTTGGGCTGATGCCCACACATCACTGATGTGAAAGGAGAACAAAGACTGAGCTAACTAACTGCATGTCTGTGTGCGTGCATGTGCATATGTATATGTACATTTGTAATGTTGGTTCTGTACCAATATACTATCTAAACAGACTACCATGGTATGGGCAAGAAGGAATGGTTTCATTCATATTTTCCATTTAAGAAACCAACATTAAGGTTTTTTTGGTTTTTCGGGTTTTTTTTTCAGTCTAGAGCTAATGACTAATGTGACAATACTTCATTCAGCCACTGCCACAGACAGTTGGGACAGCTCAATCCAATTTTCCAGGAGAGACGGCCAGAGCCCAGAGGCTGCCTTGATTTCTACAATGGAGCTTCTGGGGTAGCTGCCATCCTGAGCCTTGGTGGGGGATTTGTTGTCACAATCTCCATGACAAACACCTCCCTTCAAATGTTCAAATGTTGTAGGAGCCTCATTATTACTCATCAAGGGGGAGCTATGAAAAGCTTTCATTCTGGGCTGCCAAAGTGTCCTTTTAAAAAATGCTCAAATAAGGATGGCTTTTGTCCAACCTTAACAGATTTCAAATTAGGGTGAGTCACGGCTGGACTGTTACATGATGCACCAATTACAGTGGAATATTTAAAACTGGGCACGGCCCCTCCCATACAACGGCCTTTCTGTGTCGCACAGACGGACATGATGTTCTTACTGTATAAAAATAGAAGGTTTGTGCAGGTTATAAATGTTCTTCAAGAATGATTAGCAAAAAACTAATGATATGGAACATTAATTATTCAGCCAGTACAGGCAGAATTTTGACTTCCAGAGATGTGAAAATCCAAATTATATCCTCAATTCTATCTGCAATTTGATTTGAACCTCATTATCCAGGTACCATTGCACAGAAATGACAGATGTGCCATTGAGATGGTCCTATAAGTGAAAGGAGTATCTTCAGGGTCCTGATATCAGAAACAATGCTTAACTGAAATAAATAAGAATACCTATTTAGATAGACAGGTTTTTAAATATACGTGCAGTACAGATTGAGCATTCATGATCTAAAATGCTTGGGACCAAAAGTGGTTTTTTAGTTTTTGTTTTGTTTTTTAAGGGTTCTTATCATAGGATGCATGCGCTTCCCAGAGAAAGACAGACAGACAGTGAGAGGAGCAGTGAGAAACCATCCCCCTGGGGGTTGGCCACACTGTAATCCCTTCTTCTCCATCCTCTTCCTGGGATTTTGGGCATGCACACACATGTACCCAGCCCAGTGTGTTTCAAGCCACTAGATCCTGGACTCTAACCACAGTCAGCCATGTGGGAGACCATCGCCTTAACCACCACCACATCACTTGCTGGCCCCCAAGTACTTTAGATTTCAGGGATTTTTTTTTCCAGATTTGGGAAAAAAAAAAATATATATATATATATATATATATACACACACACACACATATATCAAATTACACACACACACACACATATATGTATGTATGTATAAAATGAGTTATCTTGGAGATGGGACCCAAGTCTAAACATAAAATTCATTTGTGTTTCATATACATCTTATACACTTGGCCTGAAGGTAATTTTAGACAGTGCATGTGCATGGCAGTATTTTGACTATAATCCAGCACATGAGGTCACTGTGGAATTTTTCATTTAAGGCAACATGTCAGCACTTGAAGAATTTTGGATTTTGGAGCACTTCAGATTTTAGGTTTTTTAATTAAGAATGCTCAACCTGTGATACTTTCCTTTATAGCACTGATGCAACTTGTCAATTAAATCATAAGACAAGAGCTTGGTAATCTGAGCCCAAATTAAATAAGCACTAAATTTAATTCTAGCATCAATGGCTATTTTAGCAAAATTTATTTTCAGAGACCAGCATAAATTCTATTCATAGAAAGTGCTATGATGACATAATTTCTTCACTTCCAAGGTCAAAAATTAAAATTGTTACAAAATTCTAGAGAAATACAGCTCTAAAATTATGGGCTTTAATGCAGATTAATCAAATGTTCTCAACCATTAAAGGATTCTGTCTAATATAGATAATTAATCAGCAAATGTATTAAGTGTTGAAAACATACATATAATGACAGGATATATACAGGTCTTCAAATATCCATGGAAAATGTATATTAAAACAATGCTTGAATTTCAAACTTTTTGCACTAAAATAAGCTCAGAAAGTTCCATTTTCCACAAAGTTTTTGAAGTCTCCTCATATATAAACTAAACAAACCAAGGTTCCTGATTACAACGTGCATGGAAACCACAGCATGCACACTTGCTAGGAGGGCTAGCAGTAAAGAGATGATATGTGGCAAGAACCAGGCAGATAGCAGGGATTCAAGAAATGCAACAAAAATCAAGTAAGTCCCCTCAGAGCACTGCGATATGATCTGGACTTGAAATAGGCTCTATCATGTCTATCAAAATAAAGAGGCAGGAAGTTATTATGAAAAGCCTGCCATTGTGATGGTACAACTGATTTATAAGAAGAAAGGTTTGGATCTGACCCCTTGAGGCTGGTCAAATCTAGCAAAAGGGGAGCATGAGACAGGAGCAGCACCAGAGACACAGCTCCCTGGAGCAGGTGCTCCACCCACTAGGCTGCCCTTTGGCAGCCCTTAACCCTGGGGATAAAAGGTAAAGGGGAACAGGGTTTCAAGCTAACCCAGTCTCTTATGGGATCTAAGCTCATCTCTCAGGAAGCAAGACACCTTGGCAGAGCTGCCACCCAGGGCCTGTTTTGACAACACTGACAGGGCACTGAGCACTTGGGGCCACCTACAAAAGAGGAAGAATATGTACCTGTCTATGTTGCATACTTTAGAATCACTAGAAAGTTCCTCACTCAGTTTCCCCAGAAGCTGGGGCAGTGTCTAAAACAAACACTCTAACACTCCTCCGTACTTTCAAACTAAATTCCCAATCCACTGATTATCCTCACTCGTATATATATATATATTTTTTAAGAATTATTTTGTTTTAACTTTATTTATTATTATTATTATTATTTTCCAGTTTGATCAGAGAGAGAGAGAGAGAGAGGAAGTGAGAAAGCAAGCCACCAGGTCCAAGACTTGAACCGTGGTCGGCCATGTGGGAGTCCAGTTCCTTTAACCACCATGCCACTTGCTAGCCCCCCTCACTCGTATATTAAACACTGCCTGAGCTACCAAGGCATACTGTTTGTCCCAGCTTATTAAACTAATTTTTACCATCTCCACAAATAGCTTAAAGGTATGTTGGAAATAAAACTGAAGGTAAGATGATTTGGTGAAGCAGTTAGAACAATAGATCAATGATGCGAAACATGACTCAAAGAGAAGGAGCGGGTTTGAAAAGGGCACAGGGAGGGGCCTGAACAAATCCCAACAATCTTCACCCTACCCCAGGGTTTCACCCAGAAGTAGATCTAAGCATTCGTCCTGTTGGAAGTGATTCTGGAGATGAGGAGACACGACTCAGCTCCACTTGAGGGCACTTGGAGACACAGGGTTGCAGCCACACAGCCCAGACTGTACTGTCCACATGAGCATCCCTGACAAACCGCAGTGAAAATGTGATTTTGGATTCAGTAAACTCTCAAGGGCAAGGACTGCTGAGGAATAGGGAAATAAAAATTAAAGATCCTGTTATAACTTTAGTTTTATCACTAATTTTACGATGAAATTATGAATTTAGATACCTCCAAAAATATTTGGCATTCAGAACATCTCTCAGTTACCTACTAGGAACCACTTTAATTCTACTTTTTTTTTTTGGAGAGGTTTTTGCTATAGGAAGCATGCGCTCACCAGACAGACAGAGAGAGACAGAGAGACAGAAAGCGAGAAATCACCCCCCAGGGGGGATGGCCACACTGCAATCCTTCTCCTCCATTCTCTTCTTGGGATCTTAGCCGGGCACGCACGCACATGCGCCCGGCGTGAGTTTAAGCCACCGGGTCCGGGACTCGAACCGCGGTCGACTACGTGGGACTCTAGCGACATAGCCATTATGCTAACTGCTGGTTCCAATTCTACATTTATTTTGAACAGACTCACGTAAAGAGTCTGAGCCAAGCATTCCCCAATTAACTTAGTATTTGTGTCATCATTAAGGTAAAACAAGATGGCTGTCATCTACAGCCACGTTTACCTCACTGGAGTGACTAGAGCTTTGAGGTAGGTGAGTTCCAGAAAATCCATGGTTGCCGCTTGAATCAAATATCTGACAGACAAAGGAGGGGAAAAAAAAATTAATGAAATGGCTCTATAATGTTCATTTGGCAGGCACCATTTTTAATACTAAAATTAAAGCTCTGTAACATAAAATCTTCACATCATGATCTGTACTATCTACTGTTCTACATTTAAAGTGATAACTTTGAAGAGTTGATTTTTTTTCTTCCCATATAGATACATAATTTATCTTTTCTCTGATGGTCTTAATTATTCAAGTCATCCTTATTATTTTTTTTTTTTTTTAGGTTTTTACCATCATAGCAGACATTCACTTGCCAGAGAGAGACAGAGAGAAAGTGAGAAGTCAGTCCCCAGGAAGGACAACCATGCCACAGTCCCTTCTCCTCCATTTTCCTCTCAGGATTTTTGGGCCTGTGTTCACACTTGCCCGGCATGATTTTCAAGCTGCTGAGTTTGAGACTTGAACTGCAATCAGCCACGTGGGAGTCCAGTGCCTCAATCATCATACCAACTGCTGGGCCCTCTTGATGTTACTTTTAACCAAGAAGTACACATTTCAGAGATGTAGAACATAGCTCAAAATTGAATTGACAAATGAAGCTTTGAACTATATTTTTTTCAACATGCACAGAATAAATCCTTGAAAGAAAACATCTACATTTTAAACACAGTTATATTTAGTTGGAGGGACTAAGAATAAATTCTTTTACCAATTTTGTCTTCTAAGTTTTATAGTAGAATAATTAACACTGGGCCTGGCAGGTCACAAGGTGGTCAAGGTACTAGACTCCCACATGACTCACCATGGTTTGAGTCCTGGACCTGGTGACTTTCTTTCTCACTTTCTCTTTCTCTCTCTCTTTCTCTCTCTGTCTGTCTTTCTCTGGTCAAATTAAAAAATAATAATAATGGAGAGCAACAGATGGCATAATGGTTATGTCTCTGGACTCCCACATAGTTGACCATGGTTCAAATTCCAGACTCGGTGGCTTGAAACTCACACCAGGTGTGTATGCATGTGTGTCCAAAATCCTGAGAGGAGAATGGAGGAGAAGGGATTGTGGTGTGACCACTTCTCCCTGGGGGTTGACTTCTCACTTTCTGTCTGTCTCTGGTGAGTGCACATGCCTTATAGCAAACATCTCTCTAAAAAAAGAAATAATAATAAACAAGTAAAAGTAATAAATAATCATTTTTTTAAAAGAATAATTAACATTAAAGACCATTTAAACATTTAGGGATTCCTACCAATCAATTTTTCCCTTTTTAAGAATTATTTTATTTAACTTTATTTATTTGTTAAATTTGACTAGAGAGGGGCAGAAGGAGGGAGGGAGGGGGAGGGGGGAGAGGGGGAGAGAGTGAGCAAGCAAGCCACCAGGTCCAGGACTTGAACCACAGTCAGCCATGTCAGAGTCTAGTGCCCTTAACCACCACGCCACCTGCCAGCCCCGATATTCATATCTTTTTAAAACTAAAAATGTTAAACAAAATGCTTTTGTTTATTAAATAACCTTATGTTGAGAACATCCAGCATAACATCTGCTGGATAAAGACTGTGGATAACATCTGCTGAATAAAAGATAAAAGATACAGAATAAAAGCAACCTGTTAAACATCAAAACAAGAGCCAGTCTGTGGCCTAGAGGTTAAGGCGGCTATATCCCACATAGCTGACTACACAGTTCAAGGTCCAATTTGGTGGTTTGAAAAACATGCCAGGGACTAGCAGTTAGAGTAATGGCTATGTCGCTGGACTCCCACATAGTCAACCACGGTTCGAGTCCTGGACCCGGTGGTTTAAACTCATGCCAGGCGCATGTGCATGCGTGCCCAAGATCCTAAGAGGAGAACGGAAGAGAAGGGATTGTGGTGTGGCCATCCGCCCTGGGGGGTGATTTCTTGCTTTCTGTCTCTCTGTCTCTCTTTGTCTGTCTGGCGAGCGCACGCACCCTATAGCAAAAATCTCTCCAAAAAAAAAAGTAGGAAAAAAACAAACAAACAAAAATGCCAGGGATGTGTGCATGTGTGCCCAAAATCCCAAAATGAAGAACTGATGGAAGAGAAGGGATTATGGTGTGACCACGCCCCATGAGGGCTGCTTTCTTGCTCCCTCCCCACATCACCTCCAGCAAGCACACATGCCCCTCTGGCAAATTAAATACAGCAAAGTAAAAACAAGAACTTCTTCAGATTTATACAAATGTTTTCCTTATTCATTTATATGATCAGATCACCATGCCACTCTTTATTTTTTATTTTTTTTGAGGGCATATGCATTCACTGGAAAAAGAAAGAGAGAGAGAGACTAGGAAAGCAAGAAAGCATCTCCCATGGGGAAGTGTCATGCCGCAACCCCTCCTCCATTTCTCCCTCCTTTCAGGATTTTGGGCACACACAGGCATGCCTGGCACGTTTATCATGCCAATAAGTCTGAGACTTGAACCATCCAGTCAGCCATGTGGGATTCAGCTGCCCTAATCACCGGGTCACAGGCTGTCCCTTTTCAACAGCCTTTGAAAAAAGAATAATCTTAGCATACCAATCTGTAAGATAAAATTCATTATCGTGCACTATTACCGACATTATGGAAGACCAGATACACATATTCAAGTTATTCTGAACACAATTTACTGTACTTGGGCCACATTTCACCAATAAGTGCTTAGGCTTTTTTTTTTTTTTTCACTTGATAAAGGTTAAAAGAGCTGCCACTCCTCAAGTGAGACAAAGCAGCAGCACTTACTCAGTGTCTCAGAGACTCCTCAAGTGAGACAAAGCAGCAGCACTTAGTGTCTCAGAATTCTGAACTGAGGCACCACCAGTGAACAAGGGTACGGTGAGTGGCTTGGCCTTCCATAAGTCAGTCTCCTCATCTGTACAGTGAGATGATGAAATACTTACTTCATATTGTCAGGACTCAGGGAACGAGGTACCTAGCACTAGTAATAGGATTTAGCTGTGCTTACTGTGATTAACTGGTGTGTGTGTTAAGTATATGTGTATGAACAGAGAGAGGTGGAGGAAGGGTAGGGGCAGAAAGAGCACTTGACAGGGTCTTGTCACTCCAGGATCTCCTTTCTCCCATCCTCCAGCTCCCCAGAATCTTGGACACTCAGGCACACAGGTGTGTGTTCAGTCAACAGGGAACTAAACCTGTCGTGGGCCCTGTGGCTTCCAGTCCTGCAGCCTAGTAGGCTACTGCCCGTGCCACTTGGCTGGGCCTCCTCTGATATTACATATTTACAATTTTTAGAGAATTATTTATTTAATTTTATTTATTCATTTTTTTTAACAGAGAGACACATAGAGAGAGAGAGAGAGAGAGAGAGAGAAAGTTAAGCCACCAGGTCTGGGACTTGAACCGTGGCTGGCCATGTGGCAATGTCCAGCACTTTAACCACCATGCCACTTACTGGTCCCCATTACACATTTACGTTAATATAAAATATATGGGGAAAATATTAGTATTAAAAGCAATAAAAGGGGCTAACAGGTAGTGTTATGATTAAGCCACGGGACTCCCACATGGCTGACCGTGGTTCAAGTCCCAGACCGGGAGACTTGAAAATCACACCAGGCGTGTGTGCATGCCTGCCCAAAATATCCCAAGAGGAGAATGCAGACGGGATTGCAGTTTGGCCATTCCTCCTGGGGGTGATTTCTTACTTTCGGTCTCTCTCTCTCCAGCAAACAAGCACACATACCCTACGGGGGAAAAAAAAATGTAAAAGAACAAAACAAAAAAGCCTAATAGAAGCCAATGAAAGTGTGGTGATTACTTTCAGATTATTCTTATTTGTGGATGTGTGTTTTGCTCAAAGCACTACACAAGGTGCAGCTACCTCCTCAGGCATGCCAAAACCCACGGGGTACCTTATTTGTTCTGATTCGGGTAAAGCCTGTCCTAATGCTGGATTCTTTTGAGCCAGCTTTTATTCCATCCTTAACAGAGGAGGACCATCTATGATTTGCAGCAGGTGGCAATGTCCCTCACTCTCCTCATGCTGAGGGACTCACCTGAGTTATAGAAGGTCTTTTCTCCTTTGCTTTTCTTGCCAGTGTGTCCAGCCCTTTTAATGAGGAAAATATGCTCTTCTTGTTTCTCCCTTTCTGGGTCAGTGAGAGGGTCCTTTTCCGAAGAGCAGAGTCATCTCTAGAGCACACCTAATTTAAAATAAATTTTAAAACCTTAAAGAGTATCGTTGAGTAGCAGAGAGAATTTACACTTGCCCTAAGAGAGGAAGCTCTGCTTGCTGTGGATGTCTCAGACCAGTGCCAAGAGCAACTGCATGTCTGACACACGGTGGACACACCCACTGCACAGACAGCTCCTCTCTGGACAACACAAGTCAAGTTGCAACATGCAGTACTCTCCGACATGGGCAGCAGGGTCACCCAAACCACCCGGGATCCCCAGGCTGAGCCAGCAAAATACCCAGAAGCCACCAAAACAGGAGCAGCTGCAGAACACCCAGTGGGGCTGTGTGTCATTCAGATAAGGCAACCTGGAACCCTGTAATTTTTTTTTTTTTTTTTGCTATAGGGTGCGTGCGCTCGCCAGACAGACAGACAGGGAGAGACATAGAGACAGAAAGCGAGAAATAACCCCCCAGAGGGGATGGCCACGCCGCAATCCCTTCTCCTCCATTCTCCTCTCAGGATCTTGGACACGCACGCACACGCACCCAGCGTGAGTATTAAGCCACCGGGTCCAGGACGTGAACCACGGTCGACTACGTGGGAGTCCAGCGACATAGTCATTACACTAACTGCTGGTTCCCGAACCCTGTAATTTTTTATACCACTGCAGCTGCTCCTTAGGGGTCTCACCTTCCTGATGCGCGAGGTGGAACAGACAGGCAGGCACAGAGGTGAGCATGCAGGAATGATCCACTAGCAGGTGGATGGCTGGAATGAGTGGTAGAGAGACCGGAGATTCTCTATAGCAGGATCTCCCCCTTCACTCCCAGTCACCTAGCCTCTAGGTCACCCTGGTCAGTGATCAGATTAGGTCCCAGAAGCACTGAGGGCAACTACCCACACCAAGGCAAACATCCCTAGTCATCCTGAAAGTCTCTGCTACAGCCTTCCTGGAACTTACCAGAGCGTGGAAGGAGGAAACAGACAAGACCCCCAGTCTGCCCAGGGCTAGCTTGGAGGGGCGGCTGGCAGCAGCGAGGAGACTCTTGGGGTTTGGCAACTCCCCACCTTGTAAGCTGGCCAGATAACAACGCACCCGGAACAGATCCATGTGAAATTTCTCCAGATTTTGTTCCCATTGCTGGATCTTAAGGCAAAAAGAGAGGTGATTTAAACAAAAATGATTAGCCATCAAGGGGAAAATCTACATTTACAAACTTCAAAGAAACTTTGATTCAGCTGGTTTGCATGGTTTACATTAGCCTTTCCTGTTCACCCCATCTCAAGCCCTCCCCACAAAATGCATGGGGTTGTCCAGTGCTGTACTTCTCAGGATGGTCAAAAGCAAAAGAAACCCAGTGGTCCCTACAGTGACATGCCAGAGGACCTTTAGAGAACTCCAATATCCGAAACCACCCTGACTTGGAAGAGCACGCAAATTGTAAGTCAACTTCTCACTTTGTTTCGTTTCTCTTCATATTTACAGACTCCAGTCCAAAATCAGATTAACTGAACTGTCCACAGAGAGATGATGGATAAACAAAGCCAATGATTTTACGCTCATGTTTATCCTGAGTAAATGACTCAAAATGACTGTACTATTCAGGATAGAGGACAAATAAAGTTTTTCTTCCTGTTTTAAGTATTTTGGAAAATATCTGCCATCTGTATATCCGAATATCTTAATCTGTATGATTAAGCCACTATGTAGTATAATCTGGACGGGAAATCATATTTCGTATGCTGTGACAAAGCTCAGTGAATGAATGTAAATTAACTCACTAAAAAATTTTTAAATAAATTTAAAAAACCTAAAGTATACACTTTTACACAACAGAAATCCCACGGACTTCCTCAAAACTGAAACCATGTAAAGAAAGAGCCAAACCCTGAAGGTTACTCTTTCTCCCAAGGACATCGCAACACGTTGTGTACAAGGATCACCTTTAATTAAAGACAAATTAAGAGTGATGAAAGGCTCTCGTGACCTGCCATTACAGGGATCCAGCAGAACAAGAAGCCATGATGTCAAAGGTCTTGAGGGCAATCTCAAATCAAGAGGAGGTCTATGGTGAGGGCTCGAATGAGTCTGGCATCCAGACAGGTCCTAACCTGTCACACTATGCTTTCGAGGTTAATCCTTAACTCTGGATAAATGTTTGGAAGGTTCCAACATTTGGGCACTATGTCCCCTTCAGTTTCTCTCCATAGAAAAGCATTACAGATTCTGAGTGTTCCCCAGACCCTCTCCAAGTTCTTCATATCTGTTTTATAGAGCAGTCACTATACAACCTTTCTGCATAAAAGAAAGCAATGGCTACAAGATCTAAACCGGTGGGCCCCAATCTTCCTGGCACCAGGGACCAGCCTCATGGAAGATAATCCCCCCACGAACCAAGGTGTGTGTGTGTGTGGTGGGGGAGGGGGGGCTGGTCCTGGGATGACCCAAGCATACCATATCCAATGTGTACTCCACTTCTACCATTGCCATGTTGCAATATACAATGAAACAGTCACACAACACTAGGGTTTGTGATCCCATGAGAATCCAATACTGCTATTAATCCAACAGGAGGTGGAGCCAGATGGCAATGCTAGCAGCGGGGAGTGGCTGCAAACACTGATCAAGCCTTGCTCGGTCACCGGCCCTCTACCCTTTGCTGAGCAATCCAGGATAAGGTAGGGGTGGAGCAGTTTCAAAAGGTCATGACCAGCACTGGTCCATGGTTGGAGACCCCTGATCTAAATCAAAATGTTGTTGATTCATCAATGTTTGCAAAACAAAGTCAGAAATAGTCTCAATATCCATAATGAATTTAACCTCACTTAAGATTCTGTTTGCCCTTATTAGTGATGCAATAGCCTACTGTAATTTTGATCTTCAGCCTTGAATGAAGATCAAAATTACATGGTGGTTTTCATTTTTTTTTTAAGTTTGTTTATTTTATTCATGATGGAGTGTATGTGCACACAAGAGACAGCGAAAGACAGAGGCAGAGAGGAAAAACACCCTCGACAAGGTCTCATCATGCTGAGATCCCCTTTCCCCAGCCTTCCAGTTCCTCAGGATCCTGGACATGCACCCTGTGCATGTTTTCAGGCAAACCCAGGAATTTGAACCTGCAGATAACCATGTGGCTTTCAGCACTGCAGCTCAGTTTGTTACCAAACTGTGCCACCAAGGCTAGGTCAAAACCTATTGACTTTAAAAAATGCAAACACCAGGTCCACCTGAAGATTCTACCCATTAGGTTTCAGGCCCTGGAAAGTTTACATTTCAAAACTACTTCATTGAACTCTGGTGCACAGCTCTACTGAGCCCCACTGTTCTAGACTAGCAAGATGGTTCAAACTGAAACTGCAAGTCTCTTCTTGGTCTTGGTATATTAGGGAATTCTATTAGATTTCAGAAATAGTGGATGGATATAAACAGTCTACCATAATCCATAGGTACAATGAAAAACATTCTCATTGTTCTGCCTCAAGAATGTCTTCCCCTCTAAGTGCTTCTTGAAAAACCACAATTATAGATGCATTCCTTTGTCCTCTAATAATTAGTAGATATCTCTACTGGGTCATTAGGAAAGTCATGACACATTTTTGCATAGAAAAACACTCATGACTTTCCTGACGACCTAATTGAAGTTAATGTATTAAAGCTTACCACACTCATTTATATGTCAACATGAAATTGTTTATAAGATGTTTTCTGGCAGTTCTACTGAGAGCGGAGACATGAAAAGAAAGAAAATGAATAAGCCATTGGATACTAGAAGGTAAAGATGCATATCCCATCCATGGTAGGTTAAAAAGACAACAAAATAAAGTTAAACCCAGGTGTAGGTCAATCACCAAGATCAAGGACGACAGAAGTCTCTTACATTTACCCCTAATTCTGTACTTTACCATTTGCTTACTGTTTGGTACAGGTCATGTGCACTCACCAGAGAGAAACATAGGGAGACACGAAGAGAGAGAGAAAGTAAGAAGCACCCTTTATGGAGGATGGCTACACTGCAATTCCTTCTCCTCCATTTTCCTTTTGGGATTTTAGGTATGCATGCACACATGCCAGGTGTTTTTTTCCAAGCTTCTAGGTCTGGAACTTAAACTAGACAGTTGGCCATGTGGGATCTAGCCACCTTAACCACCATGCCATTGAGTGGTTCTACACAATATTTTTTAAAAGCACTGCTAAATGTATTTATGTGACTATATATAAAAATGCTATATATAAAAACACTACTGATAGCCCATTCAGTATCATTATATCCAAATGATAAAGAATATTAAAATTTTGTGAGAAATACTTTGCTAACCTTCAGCATTCATAGATCTCGCTACCCAAAGCTTGGGACAAAATGCAGGTGAATTCATGGGAGGAACTTGGCTTCATTTGCTGAAGTCTACTGGAGAGAGGGGTCTGGGAGATCGTAACATCCCAAAGGAGACCTTAAAAAGATTAAGAAGTTCCCTGGGGCAATAGGTGGGTGGTGGTTAATTCACTGGACTCCCACGTGGCCAAGTGCAGTTCGAGACCCAGAACCTGTGGCTTGAAACTCACACCAGGTGCATTTGAGCCCAAAATCCCAGGAGGAGAATGGAGGAAAAGGGATTGCAGCATGTTCATCTGCCCCAAGAGGTTACTTATTTTCCCTCTCACTTTCTGTCTCTTGTCTGTCTGTCTGTCTTTCTCTCTCTCTGGTGAGCATATGTGCCCTATGGTAAAAAGCTTGGGGGGGAAAAAGACAAGAACTTTGCAAAAAGAAATAAATAGGTTTTAAAACAACTATTATATCAATTAATTGCACATTACAGGTCATTTAAAATTTAACCTAATAGAAAATGCAGTTTCCATTTTAACAATGCTCCTTATTCTAATGGAACCATTTGAGAACAATCAATTTGAGTGTGAACCTGGTTGGACCACAGGGTGCCCAGATATTTGGTCAAATGTTATTCTGGTTGTGTCTGTAAGGTATTTTTGAATGAGATTAACATTTAGATGGGTAAACTGTGAAAAGCAGATTGCCCTTCCTAATATAGTGGGCCTCACCCAATCACTTAAAGGCCTGAGTAGAACAAAAAGGCTTATCCTCCTTCAAGTAAGAGAGAATTACTTCTGCCTGCCTTCAAACTAGAAAACTGGCTTTTTTTCTTGCTTTTGGACTCTTAAGTGAAACATGAGCTCTCCCTGGGTCTTGAGCTTTCCAGTCTTTAGCCTAGAATTACACCATCAATGCTCATAATTTTCAGACTGAAACTATACCATTGACTCTCTTAGGTGTCTAGCTTGCTACCATACCCTACAAATCTTGGGATTGCCCTTTTTTATAATCATATGAGCCAATTTCTTATAATAAATCTCTTTCTGTATGGCATGTACATGGAAGTTTATGTGTGTATATCCATCTGTCCACCCACTATCCACCCATCAGTTCTATATCCGGAGAATCCTGACTAATACAGTCTTCATCCCCACAGAGCTCTGTGGCAGAGTAAGCATCACTGGGCACATACTAGTCCTCATTTAAAGACAATATTTACCTTGTTTCTGAGATCATGGTCTTCACAGAGATAATCAGTCATTGAACTTAAATGAGGATTTGCATTTGGATAAGAAACAATGCAGGTTTTTATTTTTCCCCCACGGACTCACCAAAGTTGTAGAGAAGGACATGGAAGACTGCAGCTAAAGTATGGTGGGGGTAGGAATTCAGAAGCTTGGGTTTTTAGAGGGAGGAAGCTGGTAGAAAGGCTGGATTGACAAGCTCAGAAGAGACATTATAATATGCAGAAAGTCTGTCAACATACACGATGCACCTGCAAGGGATCTGGTGTTAAGACACCTCCATTTCTCAGTCGTAGAGACTGAGGTTCAGAAGGGAAGTGACTTGACCAGGTCACATAGTAAGCTAGCCCTTCCAGACAGTAGAGACCCAAAGCTGATCCTGATGTGACCAGTCTATGGGCAACAGGCAGGCTATCAAGTGCTGAAATGTGGCCCTCGGATTTCAGATCTTCTGACTCACAAGGCAGGTATCTAACCATATCCAAATACCTAACTTGAGCAACACGTGTTTATATTTTCACCTGTCATTTCATTTCTCCCACAAATCCCAAGGTACTCTACAGAGGAGGCAGCAA